GATAACCGCTAGTCGTTCAGTGTCACGGCGGCGTGGGAGCGTTCCCCGCATACCGGGACACTTGGGAAGGTCCAGCATCTATCCAGCTACCAGAGTGAGACGTACACGACAGACACAAACGGAGAGACGGCCAAAGAGAAAAGACACCAAAGAAGCCGCACGAAAGTCGAACAAATCACGACGAATACACCGAGAGAACCGGCTCTAGTTATCCCGCACTTTGCTTCGCATCCAGTTCTCCGAGAACCAGCACACATAGCGGGACATCGCCGCTTTTTCCTTGCTGATACCGTACCCAGCTTGCGCCTAAACTCCGCACTTCTGAACTCCGATCATCCTCAACAGTGAGAGGGGATGTCTCACGACGAACAACCCGACGCTGAACGAGGCGCACCGCACCACAACGACGAAGAATATGGGCCTTACCCGACCTCGACATATCCCAACTACAGCAGCTCGAGAGCGTACCCAGCCACGGCTCCTGCCCGCGCGGCGATAGCTGCTATTGAAGAGGCCGTTGCTGTCATGCCCGACAACGAGACGATTACTGCCTTTGAGCGGTGGGCAGCTGGCGCTTCCGATGCCCAGTTCAACGCCCTGTCTGGTGCCGTGGGAGGATTTACCTCGGGCGTTGTTACGTGCCCGCTCGACGTTATCAAGACCAAACTACAAGCCCAAGGCGGCTTCAACCCGGTTGAGAAAGGCAGACATGTTGGACATGGTCCGAAGCTCTACAATGGACTGCTTGGCACCGCCCGTGTGATTTGGAAGGACGAGGGAATACGCGGCATGTACAGGGGACTCGGCCCGATAGTACTGGGTTATTTGCCCACTTGGGCTGTATGGTTTACCGTCTACAATAAGAGCAAGGACTGGTTAAAGCACCGTCATGGTAAGTAGGAGCCTCTGCCATTGGTGCGTTCTGGGAGTTATGTTGGCTGACTCGAGATGACAGACAACACGGTGTTGATCAACTTTTGGTCATCCATCATCGCTGGTGCCAGTAGCACTGTCGTCACGAATCCCATTTGGGTCATCAAGACTCGCTTGATGTCACAAAGCGTTGCCCATGACCCGGGCAAGTATCATTCGCAGTTCCCGAGATCGGGCAACACCCCAACTTCCAGACCGACGAATCACAGCTCATGGCACTACCGGTCAACAATCGATGCGGCACGCAAGATGTACACCTCCGAGGGCGTCCTTTCCTTCTACTCTGGTCTCACACCCGCCTTGCTGGGACTTACGCACGTGGCAGTGCAGTTCCCAGCATATGAGTATCTGAAAACGAGGTTCACTGGCCAGGGTATGGGAGAGCCGACACAGGGCGATTCGCAAGAGTCGCAATGGATGGGAGTGCTGGGTGCTTCGATATTATCGAAGATTATGGCGAGCAGTGCCACATACCCTCACGAGGTGATCCGCACGAGACTGCAGACGCAAAGAAAGCCCGTGGGAGGAGCCGAGTATCTCCAGGGTCTGGGGATCAAGGTCCCCTTATCCGAGGATGGCAAGCCGCAGCAACCGTTATCACCAAAATATCGCGGCGTGGTCAGCACCTTCCGGACGATCCTCAAAGAGGAGGGCTGGAGGGCCTTCTACGCTGGCATGGGCACTAACATGATGCGAGCGGTGCCGGCCGCGACAGTAACGATGCTGACGTATGAGTTTGCGATGAAGCATTTGAATCATGCAAGGAGCGAGGGCAAGAGGAAACTAGGAAGGGGTACACCTGCAGAACCATGATCTGGCATGGCAGAAGCCAGAGAGCGGTCTCATTTTGACTCATTTTGAAGAAGACTGAAGTGGAGAGAGAAAAACTTGTCAAGACAATATGCGCGGTTTAGCAGTCTCGAGGGGAAAAAAGAAGATGTTGAGATTAGGAAATGGGGATGGGATTTTCCAGATACCCTTAACTTTGGTCGTCAGGTATAGACAAACTCGATTCAGGTCACGGAAACCAAGCAATAGTTCCCCTTTCTTACTTGGGAGACGGCTCTGTTGACCCATCCCCTCCCCCATCTTCATCGCATCCAAACGATGGTTTTCTTTTTCTACTTCACACACGATTTCGGATACCTATGGTAGTTCATAGTTGAGAAGCAGGGGAGCATGAGCATGCATGGCTTTGTTTATTCCTACCGACAGGGAGTAGGGCGGCTCACTTTTGTAGCATTACATTTGTTTGGCGCGGAGTATACAAGGAGTTTGATATAAAAACACACTGAAGCCATATTTGTGTTCCCCCCCCCCCCCCCTCTTGTGGTATCTAGCAGTCCGTAGTTGCCAGAGACAGAAACGTGGGCAGAGAAAAGCGGTAGGGGGTATAACTACATTAGAAAATCGTGAAACAAACTCCAAAAAAGGAAGAACGAAAACAACCCGCGAAAGCCCTGCTGCTTTTTTCTTGCCCCTGAACTAGCTTTTGGTCTGCAACTCCTGGTACAGAGGGAGTGCGTGGCTCCTTCTCCAGTTTGATCGGTGAATTCGCCGCGCTGCGTTGTTTGATGGAACACGTTTTGGCGCAGCACTCATCCGAAGGCACTGGTAATCTCAAGACGGGCTACCATTGCTGGGACCATGGCTCGGGCTGTGAGGATGTCTCTGCACAAACGTCAGTTTCTTGATCCCGGAGTTCCCATTGCTGTATAGCATTTTCCCAGGGTGGGGGGGGGGGGGGAGGGATGGAAGATGGGTAGACGTACGGCCTGATCACGCGCCGAGCGAATTGAAGAGCGGGTATATCTGGTTCGATATTAGCTTTCACCTCACGGTACTTCTGAACAGCAGACATCCAAACAAGACATAGTATCATATGAATTCTGAGACTGGGGACCTCGAATGTGAGACTTACGCGAAGAGGATACATGCCATTGTGAAGGCGGCTAGAGGGGCCGTGATGGTCTATGGGGAAGGGGGTTGTTAATACAGGAGGTTTTCTTCATTGGGGAAGGTTTTATCTTTTTTCTCATCCCCCTCTTACCTTTGGTGTCAGGTTTCCCTTCTTCATCTTGTGAGCATCGCCTTATATAGACGAGGTAATGTTTTGGAATTGCAGTGCGGTTTGAGGTGTTTTGCGAGGGTGAGGAATGAGAAGGGGTGTGTGTAAGTGAGGCGAGTGAGTGGGATCATGGATGAGATGTGGATGGGCTGATTGTGGTTAGAGGATTGGGGACCGGTTGGGGGTTATGCATGTATCCGGGATGAAGAAGTGAATATAGGCATATGATGCTGGCTTTGCACTGGAAGGGTTGTTTGGGTCGGTTTCGTTCAGTTGTGTTCAGGGGACAGTTTCTATAATGGTATAAGTTTACAAGAGAAATGGGATAGCTGTAGTTCCAGCAATGGTAATGCCTTTTTAGTGTAAGCGCTTTTACGTTGTTGAGAGACTGATAATTGGTGTTTTGGCTTATCGGGGCTTGACTTACACCACCGGCACGTTGTTGTTCACTTAAAGTATCTTCTCATAGTCAAAGGTATGTAAAGAGAGGTTATGGAGATAAGACATGACGAGACAGACATGCGTAGTGCGAGTAAATCTCTACGGCATTTGGATTGAGCCTTGAGTAGACAAACCTTTTCCATCGACTCAATGTGATGGTGCAAGGATGCGAAGAAGTCGGAGAAAAGTGGCCTTGACATTAGCGGCGGAATGAGAGTGGACCCATACGTGAAACCAACTAGATCTTTTGTTGCGTCTGCCAAAAAGGAATAAAAAAGTAAGGGTTGGCGAAAGATAGCCGTGGAGGTCATCCAAATTCCGCAACACCACGGAGTCTCCAAAAACTCCAAAAGATTAAGCCCGTGATGGCTTCACATGACAAGAGTGAGATTCGAACCCACGCCAATTACTTGACTAGCACCTGAAGCTAGCGCCTTAGACCGCTCGGCCATCTTGCCTTCATGTTATTGTCGAGATCCTGGGCTCGGGTGGAGTTTATGCTAGATTCGCTGCGTGTCGTGGTGGGCGGATCACGCTCAATGGGGATATCTTGTTAATCGACAACGGCGTCTGAGCTGTTCTGGGAGATAGTTGGGGTTCCTTCTTCAACGAAACAATAACCTCGCAGGCGCCTTCGGCTGCGTTGTGGGGAATGATGCTGACTGTGATCTCTTGCTTCGTACCATCAGATAGCCGGACGGTGCGCGAAGCTGGAGTCGTGCTTGTCGCAAAATATTCTGATGGGCATAATGGCATGCTCGTCCAGGGGTTACCAATCCTAGCTTCGCCTCGCCTTTTGGACCAATCCAACATGGTAAGAGCAGCCAAGTACGTGTCTGATGATTCATTCCACTCGCCTTCTTCGAGTTTGTCGATCATCCATCTGCACATTTCATCTTTCTCATACTCGAGCAAGGCTGCCCAACACTCGCGGGGCCTTGAGGAGGAACCTCCGGCGATGGCAGTGGCGAGTAGAATCCTGCCGTACGAACCAGCGTAAAATTGCAAGAAGCGAGCGTCCGAAAGTTCGAAAGCTGAATGCAGCTTGACTCTGTCAAGAAAGACTCGATTCAGTCCATCCCAAAGTGCTCTGGGTTCTGCCCGGAAGTCCACCCATGAACCCCCGGTGAGGATCCGGTCATCAATAGAAACAAATATTGCATTCTTCAATCTGGTACTTCCCAAATCTAAAGCTGCTTCGGAAGTCAGGTAACGTACTAGCCTGAGCGGATTGGCCTGCTGACCGTAATTGTACGTGTTCAATTTTTGTATCTCTGGGTTCTTCAGTCGTCCAATGCCTGCAGCGAGACACCACGGCTTATAACGCACAAAGCCCGATGGCGTTTTGGAAACCACGATACCGATTTCAATGGCATTCATGTCGCTATGCTTGCTTGTAGAAATCGATTGTGATGATCTTGGGTCAAGAAACTTGTGCTGCAGCTGCAGCACGTATTCTTTATCCCGCTGAATACTTTCTTCTTCCTCGGAGTCTGCCCGTCCCCGGAGTATAGTCTTCAATGATAAAGTCTTCCTGGTCACGACAACTTCGAAGTCTTCAGATATCCTTGGATTCTTGAACAGGTCCAACTTCGACCCTGCAAGGAAGTCAGACGGTGACTTCGCAAGAAGCCCGCTGTACTCTTCTCGTCGTTCGGGGTCCGTAACTGTTGAGGTCCAGGCGAGTATAGACAGGTCGTTTGTTTCTTGCAAAATCTCAGACTGCAGCCGTGCAAAGGCTTTCTCGCCTTCGCCGTACAGCAGAGGCATATTAATATCAAAAACACCTAGTAGGCAATAGGCAGAGTCTTCGGTTCGAGTAGTCTGGCGTTTCGAGGCCCAAGACATGCGAGTTGCGACGGGGACCTTGCGCAGAGGAGCCTTGCCAATAAGGATGGCCTCGTCGATGCCTGTGATGGACGATAAGAAGGGGGACAAAGTCTCCTTTGAACCAAGTAGCTGCCAGGACGCATTGTAGAAAGTGACGACCTTTGGCGCCAGCAGCTCTTGCAAAGTCCAACCCCGGGTGAACCAGCGGGAATCACCCAAGCTTTCCAGGGATGTGGTCGAGCTAGCCAAATCGTCCATATCGGAGAGGTAGGCGAAACAGATCCATGACCGATTGTACCAGCGGAACATTGAGTTGATAGCCTCGGATAGTTCAGCGCTGGACGTTTTGTCGATGCAGCAAGTGTCGACCCATACGTAGCTCAAGTCGAGGGACTTGGCCACTCGGCATGTATTGGAAATCTTGAGGTAACCGGCCTTTTTTCAGACATCATCGTCTCTCTGGGTTTTGAGTTCCTGGAAAGACACTTCTTCGCCGGCCCAGGTATGAGAGAGGATGGCATAAGGGAAATCTGGCTCGATGAACTCTTCCAGCTGAAGGGTATCGACGTTGATGAGCCACATGGCCGGTACTTGCAGCCAGACAGATGTGGTTTCTCAGGGACAGCAACTAAAGACGGATGGGGTGCGAGGAACGAAGTAAGAAGGCTAGTTTGGCTGCAAAAAGACGATGGAATGGGTGTGCTCTTTGACGAGAGGAAGGTGTTTTTTTTTTTAGCAGGGCGGAGGACAGACGAGATTTCGAAGAGATCGTTGCCTCACTTGAGGCGGAGTTGAGTAGAAACCCAGAACCAACGAATAAGAATTGCAGGTCGCAGTCGGGAAGATGTTGGCATATGAGAAGGTGCATATGCGTGTTGGAAGGCGCCTACACAAGGCGCCTACTCCAGGATCTGCTTTCGCCTGCCTCTCACATCTTGGAGGAGGCATTGTTGGACCTATATCCTCATCAGATCGATGATGCCATCTCGAACCACTGATCTCCAACGGAGCAAAGTAAGATATAGTAGAGGAAATAAGAGAATGGAAGCAAAGCACGGTATGCTGGAGACAAAAGTGTCAATGACGGCTGGTTGCTCGGTAGGTGAGACAGCGTACTTAATCTCACATCGGTGACATCGGCTATTAGGCCCAGCCATCTGGTGTTTCCCCCCACAGCAAGCCCGACGCCGGACGGACACCAGAACGTGCGCTCCCTTGGAGGCTAACTTCACTAAGACCGCCAGGTCGGGGTCGAGGAACGCACGGGCAATGGTCGAAAAGCTTACTGGGCGATGGACAGGGGTGCGAGGCCACTTTCTTCGGTGTTGAGAAGAGGGAAATGGCAGATGAGAGGTTGAGAGAGGCCAGCGGCAGGGAAACAGCAGAGAGCACGAAAGGCACGAACTGATGGACCTGCACCTCTTGCTCAATGCTGAGTGTTACACTGCTGACCTTGCCTGCTCTCATTTGGGGGAACCCAGACACGCAGATTCCGAGCCAGCACCTTTCAAAGGCAGAGCAACCATACAACGTTGACTCGGCACCACCACCACCACCCCCGTCCGCCCATGCCCCCCAGAAACAGCAACGGCTAATAATACCGCTGCTCGCGGCGACCCGAGCTTAATAATTAGGCTGAGCCAGACAGAAAGGAGAGACAGAAAGAGGAGGGGAGACTGGACGTAAGTGGGAAGGGAAGAGACACTGAACAGAGACAGACTGGGGGCGTCCGCACCAGCACCCGCGACGCACCGCACCGCACCGCCAAAATGCAGCGACGCAACACGGCAGGACATCTGCATCGCATCAGCCCCCTGGTCCCGGCTGAAGCTCTGGCCATGGCCGCCTGTGATTGGCTCCTCTCGAGGACGTCCTCTTCGACCTCCTGTTTACCTCTCAACTTCCCTCGATTCCCGTAACCCCCTCCCATCTCTTGCAATTTCGCATTCTTTTCCCATCGCATCTGGATCGCATCACCAGCGCATCGCCGCTATTCAAGTCGCACACTCTCTGCGATCTCCCCATTGTATACCTCTGTACGAATACCTGTACCCACCATACACAGCATACATCCCAGCTAAGTCTACATACCACCATGCCTGTCGAGCTTCGCAAGCGCAAAGCCCCCGAGCCTGCTCCGGCTCCGGCGCCCAAGAAGGCTTCGTCCAAGGTCGCCAAGGCGGCCGACAAGGTCAAGGGCGCCGTCAAGGGCAAGGCCGAGAAGCCCGCTGAGAAGCCTGTTGAAAAGGTTGCCGAGAAGCCCGTCGAGAAGCCCGCCGCTGCCAATGGCTCTGGCAAGAAGGTCAAGGCGGTTAAGGGTGAGACAATCGACCTCGACGGCTTCGGCGGCGACATTGAGACCAACGATGGCGAGAAGACGACCCTCAAGGAGCTCGTCGACAAGAGCAAGGCCGGCGTTGTCCTCTTCACCTACCCCAAAGCCTCAACTCCCGGATGTGAGTGTGTTTCTGCATCGATATATGCTTGGTAATACCTACCTGCAGTCCGATCAATCATGCTAACGAGGTTTGGGTATCCAGGCACTAAGCAAGCCTGCCTCTTTAGAGACTCGTACGAGCCGCTCACCAAGACGGGTTTCGCCATCTACGGCCTTTCCATGGACTCGCCCAAGGCCAATACCACCTTCAAGGAGAAGCAGAAGCTGCCTTACCCGCTACTCTGCGACCCCAAGGCCACCCTGATTGCTGCCATTGGTCTGAAGAAGCCGCCCAAGAGCACCCAGCGCGGCGTCTTTGTCGTTGACAAGGCCGGCAAGGTCCTCATCGCTGAGCCCGGTAGCCCCGCGGGCACCGTCGACGTCGTCACGGCGCTGATCGAGGGCGGCGATGTCGAGGGTGCCGAGGAGGCCGCGACCGAGGCCCCTGCCGCCGATGCCAAGGAGGAAGAGGAGGCGGCCAATGGAGAGGTCAAGGCCGACGAGGAGAAGAAGGGGGATGCTGCCGATGAGGCCGAGAAGAAGGATGAGAAGAAGGACGAGTAATTATGTCATGGTGCCGCAGTGTAAGTATAATTTCGTGACGGAAAATGCGTTTGCAATTGGAGGGCCTGTATAGGGCAAGGCGACGCAGGATTTTTTTGTATCCGTATAGTAGCTGGGAATTGATTGTCTGGCGTTGGGCTTGTGCATTGTCTTTTTCATTCTTCGTTGGCACATTCGAGACGCACAACGCACAGCTCTGCGGTGCGTTGCGAAATTGCGTGCCATCTTGACCCACGGTCGATTCGATGCGATGAACCCCCCCGGAAATTCCAGCGATGTAGCTTTGCAAGGGGAAGTGGTGAAGTGGATACTTTGGTCCAAGAGCTGGTGGTGCTGGGTTGCAAATTCAAGCACGGCTATTGCTTCGACCGGCAAAACCTCGGCCCTCCGGTTCCTTGCCAGAAACTGGAGCACTCTCTCCCGTCCCCCGAACCAAGCCCCAGGCGCCGGAACGCTCACAACCAACCTCAAGCTGGTCATCGAACCGTTTGCCAATCGAAACCCACCACCCCCAAATCTCCCCTCCACCGTCTACAGACGTCGCCAAAGATGGCCTCCAAGGCAATTGCGAAGGCTGCGGCTGGCGGTCTCGTGGAGATCTCTCAGGTACGACCCTCAATTGATCCTGCGAAAAAGCAGGGAAAACCAAACACCATACACACCCACCACCCTCCGGCGAACCATTGAACGACCTCACTTGAGCAGCAGTAGCTAACCTTGTCTCCTTGCCCTCCTACAGAAGCACACCCTCCAGTCCACAGGCATCTGGGAACGCATCCGCCGCTCCCTGGCCATCGACCCCAACCGCTCCTCCGGCGTGCCCTTGAACCCGACCTTCCGCAACCCGACACCGGGCGCCAACGACCCCCTGGCCTACGACGACCCCGTCACCGTCCCCGCGGGCGACATCGCCGACAACCCATACTGGAAGCGCGACGCCCGCCGTAACTACCCGGCCATCAGCGTCGTCAGCCAGGCCGACGTCGTCGGCCTGCTGGCCGTCGGATCCGCCGCCAACCCGCGCGTCGAGCTCATTGGCGAGGCGGGCGAGAAGGCGCTCGTCGCGGCCAAGGAGGAGGGCAAGACCACGGGCATCGCGGCGTACCTCGAGAAGAACGCCGCGCAGGGCGCCGTCGAGGCGAGCAAGGAGGCGCTGTTTACGAATGGGTTGCCGCCGACGCCGAGTGGTGAGGATTTGAAGAGCGGAAAATGGGATGTGCACAAGTACAAGGTCAACGAGGAGCAGACCTACGGCGAAGGGTGAGTTTTTTTTTTTTCTTTCTCCTGTTTCATTTTTGGGCTTCCTGGGGTTTGGTGATGACGAGGAACTTTGCTAACTGGGTGAACAGCTACCCTTGCCGGACTTTTGCTTGAGCAATTTGGAAATCGCGGGGTTCGCTGTACAGTGGAGAGAGGAGGGACAATTGTAAATATGAAGGGCACTAGATTCCATTGAAACGTTTTTCTTTTTTCTTCACTCGAAGTCTATGTGCTACTCTATTCGTTCGCTGGGTATCTCACCCCGTTCTCATGATGTAGCCGTTATCAAAATCTCAACGGCCGTCGACCAAAACCACCCTCTTTGGTTTCTTCCTCAAGAAGAGAATAACCAGCAAGAAAAAGAAAAACAAAACATCCCGTCAAATCTCCTTGGTCTCCGGGACCTTCACGTCAGCAGCAGCAGCAGCAGCAGCAGCAGCAGCAGCAGCCGCCTCCGGCGCAGAAACCGCTTCACCCGTCATGCGCTCAATAATCTTGACTTTGCCCTGCGCCCTCTTCAATCTATCGTCAAAGTCGTTTACGGCATCGTCGCTGTTCTCCTTGGAGAGGGTGTCCGGCTCGACCAGCGCAAACGCCGTCGTGACGTTCTTTTCTAGTCTGGCGTTGGGCGGCAGCGGCGGTAGGGAGCAGGTCTTATTCTGTGACTCTGACGGCTCTGTTGATAGTTGAGGTTGATCGGGTTGATCGGCCGAGACCGAGGAAGCTGAAGCCGAAGCGCCGAACGGCTTCGCTGTGGTGCTGCTGTTCTTCTGGGGGAGGGAGAGTCTGTTGGCCCACACGACGGCGCGGGCGTGTATCCTGCCGCTCTCGTAGAATTTCTCGTAGCCTTTGGCGAGGCCGACGGAGCGGCCCTCGATTTTGCCCGCTTGGATGCCGTCTTCAGTGCCTTGGCGGAAGCCTTCTGAGAAGAATTGGTCTTCTAGGGTGAGAACATCGTCAAAGGGGTCCAGAGACATGGTAGGTGATGAGTCTTTTGTGAAATGGGTCGAAAGAAATTCAGCTTATTAAGATTCAAGGCGTGAGAGTTGTTGCCGGCTGTAAGTCGTGGTGAGTCTTGAGTTGGCGAAGTTGAGACTCGATGGAGGGGTGCTTTGAAATGGTGGCGGGGCAAAATTGTGAAGTTTGACTCAGCGAGCTTTTTTTGCTAGTGGTTTACACCCATATGTTTCGACCCTCAACTTTCAAAGATAACTCTTACGATGAACAACCCAGCGACACGAGGTTACATATTTACCCTTGGATCAGGTTTTGTATCTTTGAAATGAAAAGCCATCACACAAGAAGCGGACATGGGGAAAAGTCAAATTAACGGAACGTGGCGAATAGAATTCTAAGTCTACCTCATAGCTAACACAGCAAAACCCCAATTATACGTCCTCATATTCCAACGCAGTCAGTCACATCTATAGAAACTGCTCCTCTACTGCAACCCGAAAAACATACCGCCATTAGCACAAACAACCTGTCCCGTGCACCAAGCAGAGTCCGCAGAGACAAGCATGCCCACAATACCCGCAATCTCCCCAACGTACGCCGGCCTCCCGCCCTCCTCCTCGGCCGCCTTGACCAGCTCGTCCGAGTCGATCCCCTTCCTCGCCTTCATCAGCGGCGCGTGCTCGATGAAGCCCTTGATGAAGCGCTTGAACTCGGGCGTGTTGCCCGCGTACATCTCCGTGAGCACGGGACCGGGGTTGATTGCGTTGACGGTGGCGTTCTCGCTGAGCTCGCGGGCCCATGTGCGCGTCATGGCCTCGAGGGCGGCCTTTGTGCCGCCGTAGACGCTCTGTTCGGGGAAGCCGGCGGAGGAGCTTACGGAGGACATGTTGACGATGCGGCCGGAGCGGTCGGTGGGCAGGTAAGGCTGGACGGCTTGGGTTAGGAGCAAGGGGCCGAGGACGTTTACGCGGTAGGATACGTCGAATTGGGAGACTGTTATGGAGGGGAGGAGGTTGTTTTGGGCGACGCCTGCGTTGTTGATGAGGATGTCGATTTGGAACTTGGTGGTGGTGTTGAGCTTTTCGAAGTGGGATTTGGCGGTTGCGACGAGGGATTGGGGTCCTTCGGGCGTGCCCATGTCGGCTTGGACTGCGAGGGTCTGGATGTTGTGTTTTGTGCTCAGGTCTGTTGCGAGTTGTTCGGCTGGGGATTGGGAGGAAGGGGAGGTGTAGCCCAGGATGAGGTTGCAGCCTTTTGCGGCGAGGTGCTCGGCGATGGCGACGCCGATGCCTGGATGGTGAAATTGTGTTTAGATGATGTTGTGAAACTTATGGTTATGGAAAGTCTTACCTCGAGAGGCGCCGGTCACGATTCCGAGCTTGCCATCGAGAGGACGTGACATTGTGATGGAGGTTTTGACCAGTTGTTGGCTTCTTGTGAATGCTAAGTAGGTTGCAGTTGAATGTAGCGCAAGGGAGCAGGGATATAGTTCCGGTATCAAAGAAGGGAAGACAAGAGACGAAGAGAAGGTCGGTAACTGCTCACGATGAGAAGAGGACGGGGTCCCAGGGACGGTTCTTATAAGCTACATAGACTACGGAGTACAGATCCCTTACTCAGGGACCAGAAACCCTACCCAAGGTACCTGGCAGGGTTCGATTGTCCCGAATCGGCAATACTAGCAGCTCTCGTGACCCATCAGAGACTTGTTGAGCGACGAAGCAGTTCCCGCCGGCACGTTCCATTGGGCGGGATCTGGGATTGTCAGGTCTAGATGTCGTGGGAACGTGGATGGGGAACTCCAGTCGGTGTTTCTGGGCGAAAGCTACCCCGCTATCGCAGAGCTATGCGCTGGAGTTTCCATCTGTGTGCCCCGCGGTCGGTGGGCATCCCACACCTGGCACACCCCCACGTCATTCTCCCGCGCCAATCCTGGGCCGTGGGCTCGACGCCGCCTAGGGGGGGCCACGATTTTCGGTGGTCCTGGGTCATCGTGGATTAGCGTTTTGTGTCTGAGGACCAGGAGGGTTCTTTGATGGACTGGGCTCTCTATTGGGCCGACGATGTATACTTGTACAATTACGAATGTTCAAGGGACCTGAGATTGTATCCAAAGCAAAGTCCGATATCACCGCAAAGCTGAGAGCAGTCCGGCTTATACACATAAGTACCTAGTATCTGCAAGCATACATGAACCTCGATCACTTGCCCAAAACCCGTTTTCTCATGACTTTTCAATGAAGGAAACAGTCTCTTCACATATGAGAATGTGGAAGTCTGTGCATAATCTGATAGATAGCGTCGTGCTGTTTACGTGCTCTTCCTTCGGTCTTGGAAACAGGATACACTTGTCTAATAGACGGTGAAGCGTTGATATTGTGTTAGGGTGCGAATCAGAAGGGAGTCGGCATAAGTCAAGTTTGGCTGAATTTGCACATGCTGTTTCTCTCAGTAGCATATCAGGAAGTCGTGGAACAAGAGAATATCGTAGCGAAACAAACTACTCTGCATATGAGTTCAGGCTTCAAGTTGTCTGAGTAAGATGGGTGCACTGTTGGCAAGGCTCTGGCTAACCACTAGAAACGACTTAAGCAACACTTGGGAAATTGTACATAAAAATGAAGCTTTTCGATGGTATTATTGTCAATTAAAATGTTACAAATCACATGTGTCAAGATATCATTTGATGTTCAGAATGTGAGAGACTTGCCCTACAAATGTTTGTGTAAACATGGCAAAACTCTTGTTCATTATAAGCTCTTGGACAGCGCAGCTCGTACAGAAATAAATACCTTAGCTGAGCATCTGGCGGGGCAGTTTTGAGCGACGCTCGGAGCCTTGTGCGGCGGTGGTGGGGTTCTTGCAGCCACCTCATGGTCCAACGACCAGGGTCTTTCCAAAAGTCTACACCACACTCCCCTCCTCAGCGTCTCCCATCGCGAAATCAGCCCACCACCACACCCCTCGTCTCTTCAGCCTTGCGCTCAAAGCTCTCCTCAGTCCCAACTGAACCCACGTCCACTCATTTGCAGCCCCCACGGTCCAGACACAACTATCGCCCACCATGGATATCCGCCTCCTCAAGCCCGCCGACCTCCCCCTCATACAGCACGCCAACCTCGAGAACCTGCCCGAGAACTACTTCCTAAAGTACTACCTCTACCACGCCCTCTCGTGGCCCCAGCTCAGCTATGTCGCCGTCGACGTCTCCCGCCCCAAGCGTACCCCCTACGACTACCCCAAGATCGTCGGCTACGTCCTGGCCAAGATGGAGGAGGAGCCCACCGACGGCGTCGCCCACGGCCACATCACCAGTCTCAGCGTCATGCGAACCCACCGCCGTCTAGGTATCGCCGAGAAGCTGATGCGCCAAAGTCGTACGTCTGGCTCTGTCCATAACTCTCGCGAACTACCTTTTCACCGTCCCCATGCTCCTACTACGGCATTCTTGATAACTGACTGACTGACACGCACAACAGAACTCGCCATGGTCGAGACCTTTGGCGCCCAATACGTCTCCCTCCACGTCCGCGTCTCCAACCAGGCCGCCATCCACCTTTACCGCGACACCCTCGGCTTCAAGAACGAAAAGACGGAGAGCAAATACTACGCCGACGGCGAGGACGCCTACTGCATGAAGCTCGACCTGAGCTACATCCGCGAGCAGATCCAGGACGAGCGCGACCGCGAGGAGGAGGAAGCCGCGGCGGCGGCGGGTGAAGCTGCAGACGAAGGTGAGGCCGTGGGTGACGTCGGGCGCGACCCGAATGCGCCCGCGCCCTCTGCCGCTGATAAGAAGCGCAAGGTCAAGGTCGGTCGCGGGTTGGGTGTTGGGGAGCTTGTTGAGAAGAATGAGAGCAAGAACTAATGGTGGAACTGTGGAACTCTCTTGGGAAGAGTTGAGTCGGATTGCTTAAAACGGCTGGCTACCTACCTACGCGACGGCTTGGTGCAGAGGGGAAGGGCATACATTTGATGCTTTCCGTCCGACTGGAATAGTGGGAAGTCTGTCCATGGTGTGGGTGGGATTTTTTTATTTTAAAAAGTCAATGGCACTCGACATGCTGACGACGCAGCTTTCAGGGCGTTGTTGCTATTTTGGTACTAGATTCCAGTTGCGATCTCTCATACCATCAAGAGGACAGGCGGAAATGTAGAGCTCAATGTTGGGGCGAGAATGAGGTGGCTAGCACGTCTGTACGAGCTTGACCTACGCAGTGGAGTTCAAAAGCTTTATACGATCATGTTCATGACTGGGTTATGGCGCATCATAGCAAGGTACCCGAAAAAAGACAATAGACGAGGCCATTGGGGGCGGTACCAAGAAAGAAAAGTTCCCTGATTATCTCTACAGACTATACACTTGTCCGAGTCCCTGTCCGTAAGGTATGTAAATATGGAAGTATGAGACTGTGTGAACCATCTACCACACCCCAGACTTCTGGTCCTCCGCCGCCAACTCCCGCGCAAACTCTGCATCCGCCTCGACCTTAAGCTTCTCGATATTCCTCGACAACTCGTCAATCTCCTCCTCCAGACGTTGCGTATTCTCATCGCCGCCTCTTCCGCCGCATCCTCCGCCACGGCCCCGACCCCAGCCTCGACCACCGCCGCAGCGTCCCCTTCCGGGATTACTATCCCGCATCTCCGTCCTTACTTTGTCTAGCTCCTCCACTCTCCTGGCGATATCCTTCTCCATCTCCTCCACCGCCTTGAAAAGCGCCTGGGACGAGGGCGGCGTTGGCGTAGATGGCGTTGAGGTCATGCCACCGCCGCCGCCGATGCTGGGGCTTCTGTTCCCTGCTGCTGGTACTGGCGGCGCTGTTGTGAATGGCCATGCCCCGGGCGACCCTCCCCAGGGACCAGGACCAGGAGGACCGCCACCTGGGAACCCCCCCGGCATGGAACCTCTGCCCGGCCCTGGAGGTCCCCACGGCATGCCCCAAACATTCGGCACGGGAGAGGCATTGTTAGGGAAGTTGGGGATGGGAGGAGTGCTGTGTACCATGGGTGGCGGGGGAACGTGAACACCTATCGGCGGGACAAATACTGTCGGCCCGCCCCACGGCGCCGGTCCGGGACCGTGATGTTGCTGGTGTTGTTGGTTCTGTGGATGCTGCTGCTGTTGTTGATGCTGTTGGTGTTGTTGCTGCTGTTGATTGTGTAGACGCTGCTGCTCTTGATGTTGTCTTTGCTGCTCTTGGTGCCGTCTTTGCTGTTCTTGGTGCCGTCTTTGCTGCTCCTGGTGTTGTCTCTGTTGCGCCTGGTGCTGCTGCTGTTGCTGCTGATGTCGTTGCTGCTCTAGCTGATGTCGACGTTGGTGATCATGGTGGTTAGGATCTCCTCCCGGTCCACCACGACCGCCGCCTCTCCGCGCCTCCCTATGCGCTTCTCTCTGCTCCCGCCTTGCACCCCTATTCTCCCTCCTGCTTTCCCTCCTCTCCTCCCTCCGCTCCCTCTTCTCCTCTTTCCTTCTCGCGCGGCGTTCCCTCCGCTTCTCCTTGCGCGTTGCCCGCTGCTGGCGCTTGAGTTTGCGCCAGTCCTGCGTGATGCTTCTAATTTCCGCCCTGAGGGCTTTCTCCTCTGCCTTCTTCGACGCAGAAGCGGCTGCTGATGCTGTTTCTCCTGGCCCTTTCTCTGCCTGCTGCTGAGGTTGCGTCGCCGCCGTTGAGCCGGCGGAACGTATGTCCTCGCGGAGCTGCGCGATGTCGTCTTTCGTGACAGGCTGTTCTGGGTGTGATAGCCAGGAGGTGACGCGCTGCTTGTAGATGGGAAGCTGTGAGGGGTAGAGGTCTTCATAGTCTGGTAGGGAGCCGACGGAGGATTCAGAGGATGCAGAGGATGTTGAGGAGGTGGAGGAGGATGAGATGGAGCGCTGGTCTGAGGGGTACCTGCCGGGAGGTCGACCGCGGGCTGCTACCTCGCCTCCGCCGCCGCCGCCGCTCTCATGGCGTCCGTGTTGTTGTTGCGGGCCGCTGCCTTGATAGAAGGGATGCTGCGGGTTCGGATGTGGAATGATCGGTGGCTGAGGGTGAGGCGGCCCCGTCGGGGAAAAGGGTCCCGGAATGTGGCCGGGACCGCTAAACATCGGAACCGGTGGCGGACCTGGGGGTGCGGGCGGCGGAGGAGGTGCCCATCCGGGACCGGCGTAATGCGCTTGCGCGCGCGGCGTGGTGGTGCTTCCAAACCTGATGCCGTTCTCGTCCGCTATAAGGTTCCCTACTCGAATACCGTTGCTGCCTGCGACGATACGGTCGCCAATGTTAATGCCGTCCGTCGAGACAGTGATGCCGCCAAAGCTCCAACTATTTCGGGATTCGTTGAAGCCAGATTGCGGTTGCTGCTGGGTTTGCATCGTGGGCCCTTGACCTGGATGCGCGGGGAACGGCACGGGCGTGGGACCGCCGCTACCATTCTCACCACCGAGACTAAGATCGCGATCGCCGCCTCCGATAGCAGGATTTTCAGAGTTTCTGTCAAAAGATCGGTCCCATGCGCCCGGCATGTGCAGATCATTCTCCGCTACCTCAGGTACCAGCGTGATGAGCATGCCCCTGGGCCGGAAGAACCCCTCGTTCCACTGCGCGACCACAACCTCTGCTTCTTCCCTCCTCGTGCCCGAAGCAGCGGCCGCGGCGCCGGGATCAGTGTCCCTATCCGCGCGGATCTGATCTAGTTGTGCCGAGGCGTGAACGCTACTACCGCTGTTGCTCTGCGCCGTACTGATTCCACTGGATGTGGCAGCGGCGGCGGCAGCAAGGGCCTCCTCCTCGGCCTGCAGCTTACGATCGATAACAGCCTCGTTCCGTGCCGCAGCGTGGTGCGGGATCAAGCAATTCAGGAACGTCGCCCAGTCCTGCTGCGTGACGTCGCGGGGGGCCCAGGCCGGGGAGTAGGGTACGTCGTCCGGTGTCGAGGTCGGGGTGACGGTCAGTGCGTGGACGAGGAGGTGGTCCCTGGGTGACGGGGCGAGTGCTGTGGGCGCCGGCCTCGATTCGAAATAGGATGCTGTGAACTCCGAGTACGCTGTTGTCGATGCCGATACTGAACCCGAAAGAGATTGAGATTGGTGAGATCCTCCCCCAGTCGCCGCGACAGAGCGGCTGGAGAGGTCGAGGCTTGCATTCGAGCTGTGATGGTGAACACCGCCGCTGCCGCTGCTGCCTGGGCCGCCGGTGCGGGGCGTCAATGGCGGGGTGTAGATGACTTCGCTATGAGATGAGGCGTGCGAAGAGCCGCGCGAGGCAGCATCGTCGGCGCCATGATGGGACGAGATGTGTGGTGAGTTTGAGGGCGGATTTGACGGGCGGCCAGAGGTTGAGTAGACATCTGTCTCGGAGTACGGCGGAGGAGGCACGTCGTCGAGTTCAGGGTCTCGCATGGCCGCCATTCGCGGTGGGGACCTGTGCTCGGTGTGGGATGATATGTTGTGAAGCTTGAAGCAGAGTTGTCGAGACTGGAATATGTTTGATTCGCGACGATGGTCAAATTATCAAATTGTTCACTAAACTGGTGGGTCAAGCGGAAGAGAGCAAGGTAGGTAGTTTGTGACGAGAGGTAAGATGGAAAGAAGCCAAGATGAGGAAACCCAAGACTTTGGGAAACGGCACTACGGCACACGGCGGATGAAGAAAGTGTGGGAATACAAGGCACTTTGATGAGCTTATTAGCTAGCTGGTTGTTGTAGCTTGGCCGGGCTAAGGTTGGGCCTTCCGTTGGCCGTTTGACTCAATCCTCCTCTCCTCCTTCCCTCCATCATATTTCTCCAAATCTCAACCCTGCAAAAACAAAAGGCCATGCTTTCCCACTAGCGAACCTCTCTGACCAGCTTGTCCCTTCGTTCGCATAGCCTTACGACGTCTAATTCCCACCCTTCGAACGGTGAACCATAGTTCGTCACTCAATAGAGAGGGTCGGGGGTCAAACCCCACACCCCTCGGGAGCCCAAGCGGTGCGGCCGAGCCCATGCCATGTAAAGATAAGCATCAACCTTGTTTGAAGGTGACCCCTGCGGTCCACGGCGCAGCCAAACGTTGCGAGGGGCACGCGTTTGTTCGCAAACCCGATTGTTCAAGGTTTCCCCTCCCCCAATAAAATAAAAAGCCACCACCAAATTAAACCCTGGATAAGAGCAGCTTGCAGTCACTTTCTTCGAGAAGGCTCTCTGTGCTGCAACGCGCTGACGCGGCCCCTTCGGAGGCAGCAGTACGCCATCAGTGTATCCGTAATACCTCCACATCAAGCCACATAAGCCTGCAATCCAGTGGGTCTCTCTCCCATGCCGTTGGAAACGCCGTCGCGACCTTTTGAGCTTGTGTTACCCCTCCAAACTGAACGCCGTGCTGCCGAATCAACCGACCCTAGCCCTAGAAAGAGCAGTGGCCTAGGATTGAACCGCGAATTAGTATACTCGTACAGAACTCAGGTTCTACATGCGCCTGGTATCATCCAATAGCTGGGCCAGGGGTGAAAGTTCGCTTTCGTCTTCAGGCCACGAATCATCCCCACGGCCGCGGACGCCGCTGTTGTGTCCCCTGCTACGTTAAACGTGCTGGGCTCTTCCATAGAGACATATTCCAGCGGCAGCACTCATCGGTCAGCCTCTGTGCTCCAGAGGTGGAAGTCCACGTCCTCTGGCTTGTAGTGATCCGCAATGATAGTGGACAGGTGGTTCCGCGAGTGTGCGCCACTGTGTAGCATGTTAGTTGTGGCTCACCGCAGTCATGTTTGGGACCATGGACTTACAGATTGGTGATGTAGGTGTCGAGCAGTTCGGGAGGCACAAATTCACTAACTGCGCTGCGAACGTCGACACCGTTGACCATGGCTCCGTCTGCGAAGCTGACATGGCCCATGGAGCTTCCCCATTCCACGAGGCTCTCCTCGTCAAAGTAGCTCTCTGGACAGAGCTTGTAGACACCACTGAGGATGATTACCGGGTTGCCCTGCTCCTTGGCTGCGCGCGCAATCACACCAGCGCCTGCGTCTGTTAGGATGCCGCCGTTGGCTAGGACGGCTCTTGCTCCCAGAATCACCTTGTTAATCCGGGGCATGTAGGCCATCAAACCGCTGTTGAGGACGTTGATCGCGCTGATGCCCGCTGCTGCAAGCTTCTTCCTGAAAGACGCATATGGTAGCTCGCCACCAGAGCAGGCAGCCGTTCCAGCAGCGATAAACAGAGTGAACTTTCTTCTTGTTGCAGCGCGCAGGATGAACTTCTGAACCGTGGCTGAAGGCTGGTGCACCAACACGTAGTCTCCGGGGTGAATCTGAACATCCGCAGCTCCAGCAATCTGGTCGTCCACCTGGCCGATCTCGTCCTTGAGCTCCTCGATACCCTCGCAGACCTCTGATCTCAGAGCGTGTACCTTAGTCGACTGTCCACGAAGGGGTGTTGAAGCGCCAGAGTCCTTGCCAAAAGGCGATCCGGCCATGATGCCAGCAGTATCCACTGGGGGAGACGCCTCGAGAAGGGAAAAGAGAGACTTTGAGACGTGGAAAGAGCTCGCGGATGTGAGGAAACCGGGGCGAACGGGTCTTGGGCCGCTCGTGATGTAGTCTGAACCGGCATCCTGCTTGGTATATGTGGAAGGAGGCCATTGGTGCTCCAGCTTGGAGGGGTCTGGCACTGCTGTCGTCGGAGTTCCTCCAACTTCTGTGGCAGTCTCGCTAAAATCCTCGTTTCGGTCTTCGGCAGCCTCGTCTCGGATCAGGCTCAACACGCGTCTAACGATGTTGCCAACGACCAATTCCTTGGGCTGTGCGGCGATTAGGCGCAATCCGATCTGTTGCACCTTCTCCAGCAACGAGTCGACGTCGTTCCATTTCGACTTGGCCACGACCTGAAGGAGAATATGTGCGGTCGCGACGGCGCAGAGCTCGGAGCCCTGGATCTGTCTTCTTTTCAAGAGACTGGCGAATTCAAGCATTAGCGCAGTCAAGCCAGAGGGGAAAATGATTATACGGCTGGGAAGATACATACGAGATGAGACTGTCAATTGACGCTTCCAAGGGCTTACCCTTGAGGGTTTTGAGGTACCGCTCGAGGTCCCCCGCGCTGGGCTTCACGGTAGCCATTTTCGGTGGTGGAGGCTGTCGCCGAAGTCAAGGTCCGATATTGGGAGGGGGTGGGAGTGAGTCGTCGCAAAGACTTTTCGGGATAGATCGATGGGGGAGCTGAAGTCCAGGCGCGGGCAAGATATTCCGAAATGATAATTTGGTCGTCTTCAGACAATGCACAATGTGGATGTAGCGATCAATGGCCGTTGGTCTAGCTTTGGGCGTGGACTGAATGGAGAATTGGAAATTGTGCGCAAACAGTTGTGACTCAACTGTGAAGCTCAGAGAGGGACAATGGACGACCCCTGTCACGCTAAAAATTTCGAGGGGCATTGGATGACCACAAGCTCCGTCTCGCACCGCCCTTGACAGTTGAGCCAGCTGGCAGCGGCATTTGACAGCCCTCGACGGCGGGCTAGTCTCGGCCCGAAGCAACCCGGATTGAGAGAAACACCCATGGACCTCCAGGTGTCCCCAATGACACCTCAGTGGAAGCACTCCACTGCCCGTCTACCCCTCCATCACTGCAAAATGACGTTGGCGCGCTGAATTTCTGCTGTAAGTGATGCGTTAGGGGCATCAAGCGGTTGGCTATCGCACTCGGGCTGCGAGCTGCCCGTCATCTACCAGGTTGACAGAAACCCCGAGGTTCCTTGCTCCTGGGTCGAAAATGTGCCCTGGAATGCCGCCGGCTGCTATGTCTTAAAAGCAAATACGCCGTTGTGACATTGACCTATTCATTTGGAATCTGATTTTATTGCTAATCGTCTCTGGCTTTCAGGGTTTCTGTCTGTAAAATCAGTCTATACAAACAACCTATGTTATGTTCAGAGTGCTTTACTGTAATTGGAGCAGACTGCGGATTTATTCTATCGAATTTCTGAGGAGCTAGAATAATGTTCTCAACATGCTTGATCAACACGGCTTTTGACTCAATGATTTACGAAAAAGCATCTGTAGTGCCCATAGGGATAAGCGCAGATGCAATGCCTCAGGATGGCATGTCACGTTGGCTAAGGTCAAACATCTATCTTATACCTCAGCTTTCAACTAAAGTTCTTCTTCCCCTCCCTGGCATCCAAGGTATGCTGGCAGTATCAGTGATCTATGATGGGAATCATGGTGAGTTTTTGCAAGTCATCCACTTGAGTTGTGAGTTGAGTCTGGAGAATGGGCTATTCGGTTCACTTCTCAGAAGCACTCGCACCCGACATTGCAGGGCACTCGTACGAGTATCGGATGACAGAAAGCATCTCTTTTCTAGTGGTATAGACAATAGTCATGTATCCTGGCCGCGACATTGACACAGTAAAATGCATGAAAGGTCTCCATAGGGTTCTAGTGCAACGAGGGGTTTTCTCTCAGGCAGACAAACTGCACTTACTGCCTGGACTTGGGGACGAGAGCTCAGAGCGAATGGTTGAGCGGCATTGGAACACGGATACGAAAAGTGATGGATCGGAATTGCGAGGGCCAAAAGAGGCCGTATTCCGCCAAAGATTTGGATGCTGCAGATTCAGAGTGCCCGCAGACTGCGACCCCCCGATTCATGCCCTGTCGGCCCTGTCGCTGTTCAATCAAACCCTCAACAACGACAGCAAAAGTGGAGTGGCTCTCTTTCACATGGGAAAAAAAAAAATAAGACGAGCACACAGTTCCAGATTACAGCCAGAGAGCAAGGTAGCTCGGTATCGGCTGATGGACGTTTTCAATCATTTTACACAAATCCTTGCCATTACGACACCCGTGGCAGGAAAGATACTGCTGGAGATGGTAAGAAAGAAGGGACATATGACAATGCAGGAAATAGTGTGTATGAAAAGGTCAACTGATTCATACCTATGTACCTCACAGGCTAAACCAGGAAGTTCCTTAGGTACTGTTATCCCACTCCTCATCCTGTCAGTTTGTGTTGGGGAAGATAGATACCTTTGAATGTGGGCTGAGGTACATCCATTACATAGCCGCTTGGCGGCAGCTGGCCCGCTCATCACCCACGTCCTGCATCTTCAAAAAACTGCAACAGCGAGTGGAAAGATGAGGCGGAAAGAGATAGTTGTCCAGTGGAATAATGTAGAGTGAACATTTCGACACGTGAACCTATCTTCATTGCCCATTCCCCCACAAGGGTCAGCAGTCAGTGTAACCCCACGGTCAGCCCTGGACCAATACCGTCAATACCGGCCGGCATCAAACCGTTATCCCAGTGCCACCACGGTCCAACCCGGCCAAACCCAGCAGATTTCCATAGTGTTGAGCTGCTGCTTCTACTGCTGCTGCTGCTGCTGCTGCTGCTGCTGCTGCTGCTGCTGCTGCTGCACCTACCTTACC